GGAGGAGGAGGAGGAGGATCACGAGGAGGATGAGGAGGAAGAGGAGGAGGAGGATGATGATGATGAGGAGGAGGAGGAGGAAGAGGAGGCGGAGGAGGAGAGAGGCAGTGTGATCGGATGTTTGGGATGAGCAGGGGCGGCGGGGTGGAAGGTGGGGAGAGGAGGAGGAGGAGGATGATACGGATGAGGAGGAAGCAGACGGAGGCGTGGGAGAAGGGTTGAAGAGAGGCGCGGGGAGTGTGGGGAGGAAGCGAGCAGGAGAAAGGGGCTGTAGGAAGAAGTGGAGGATGAGGATGATGATGATGATGATGCTGGTACTGATGATGATGCGGATGATGATGGTGATGATGATGATGGTGATGATGTTGATGGTGATGCTGATGATGCTGATGATGTTGATGACGATGGTGATGACGATACCGAGGTTGATCCTGACGATGCTGATGATGATGAGGATGATGATGACGACGGTGATGATGATGATGATGATGATGATGATGATGATGATGATGATGATGATGATCATGGCGATGATGATGATGCTGATGATGATGATGCTGATCTGCTGCTGCTGATGCTGGTGCTGATGATGGTTATGCTGGCGATGCTTATGCGGCTGCTGATGATGACGATGGTGATGATTAGGAGGATGATGATGCTGAGGATAAGACAGGCGATGCTACTGATGAGGATGATGCTGATGCTGAGTTCGCTGATGATGATTATCTTGTTGTCGATTTTGGTTATGATGATGATGGTGATGACCATGACGATGGGGATGATGCTGCTGATGCTGATTATGATGATTGGGCTGATTCTGATGATGATGATGATGGTGATGCGGATGCTGATGCTGCTGCTTCTGATGATGATGCTGCTGATCATTCTGATGATGCTGCTGATGACGACGCTCATGATGCGGACGATGATGATGCTGCTGATGACGAGGACGATGACGATGACGATGATGATGATGATGCTGACGATGATGCTGACGATGATGCTGATGATGATGATGATGCTGCTGATGATGATGATGATGATGATTATGCTTTTACTACTACTACTGATGATGATGCGGATGCGGATGCTGATGATGTCGACGATGATGCTAATGCTGAAGCTGATGCTGCTGATGACGATGCTGATGATGATGACGATGATACTGATGCTTCTGTCATCATTATTCCTACCTGCACTATCATTCGCGTCATCACTATGTTTAACATGTTGTTGCTGGTGATGCTGTTTGTTTTGAATGATGGCGGTAGTTCGTATTGTTATGCTGATGTGGTTGTTCATGGTGACGGAGATGCTGATGCTGACGATAAGGGTGGTGGTGGCGTTTGATGGTGGCGTTGGCTATGATGATAATGCTGCTGCTGATGATGCTTTTCATGATGATGCTGATGCGGATGATGATGTTGAGGATGATGGTGTTGGTGATGCTGATGATGCTGCTGATGACGACGATGATGATGGTGAAGATACTAATAAGCATGATGATGCTGATGATGCTGATGATGATGCTGATGCTGATGATGCTCATGATGATTATGATGATGATGATGATGCTGATGACGCTGTTGATGCTGCTGCTGATGATGATGAATATGATGATGCTGCTGCTGATGATGATGCTGATGACATTGATGATGATGCTGGTGGTGATGCTGATTATGATGATGATGACGATGATGATGATGCTGCTTCTGCTGATGCTGATGCTGAGGCTGATGCTGATGCTGATGCTGCTGATGCTGCTGATGATCATGATGATGCTGCTGCTGCTGATGATGATGATGATGATGAGGTTGATGATGCTGCTGATGATGATGATGATGATGATGCTGCTGATGATGATGATGATGATGATGATGATGATGATGATGATGATGATGGCGATGCTGCTGCTGATGATGATGATGATGAGGATGATGAGGATGAGGATGGGGAGGAGGAGGAGGAGGAGGAGGAGGAGGAGGAGGAAGAAGAGGGTGAGGACGAGGAGGAAAAGGAGGAGGAGGAGGAGGAGGAGGAGGAGGAGGAGGAGGAGGAGGGAGAGGAGGAGGAGAAGAGGGGAGGAGGAGGAGGAGGAGGAGGAGGAGGAGGAGGAGGAAGACGAGGAAGAGGAGGCGGAGGAGGAGGAGAGAAGAGGAGGAGGAGGGGAGTGGAGGAAAAGGAGGAGGAGGAGGAGGCGGAGGAGGAGGAGGAGGAGGAGGAGGAGGAGGAGGAGGAGGAGGAGGATAAGGAGGATGAAGAGAAGTAGGAGGAGGGATGTGTAGGAATTGTGCAGAAAGACGGGTGAGCAGCAACCGGCGCACACTACCCGTGAACAAGGGTTACGCCGAGGAGGATGGGGGCAGCGGGCGGCGGCGGCGGCGGCGGCGGAGGAGGAGGAGGAGGAGGAGGAGGAGGAGGAGGAGGAGGAGGAGGAGGAGGAGGAGGAGGAGGAGGAGGAGGAGGAGGAGGAGGAGGAGAGGGAGGAGGAGGAGGAGGAGGAGGAGGAGGAGGAGGAGGAGGAGGACGAGGAGGGCAGGAGGAGGAGGAGGAGGAGGAGGAGGAGGAGGAGGAGGAGGAGGTAGAGGAGGATTAACAGGATTAACAGCATTGGCGCAACCAGACTCCATGAGCGCAGGGAAGCCAAAACACTGGGCTGCCTGAGGCGTCGAGCCTGGGCCGCCCTCGGCTGAAAAACAACAAAAACGGGGCGCCCCGTGCCCCGGGGCCCCAGCGGACCCCAGCTGCCCCCACTAATAGGGCAGCCAGGGCCGACGAACCCCCAGGGCGGTGCGCCGCACGGGATGCGCCGTGCGGCGCACCGCCCTGGGGGCCAGGGGCCCCACGCGACAGCAGATGGGCCCCCGCTTCCCGCACCCCTCGCGCTCTCGGCGCTGGCGAGGGGCGCCTTCGCGCCGCGAATCGGGCGTGTGAGGCCCGCCTTCGCGCGCTGCACCCATCGCGCCCTCGGAACAGGCGATAGGATGCGCGTCGCAGGCCCGAGGGAGCCCGCACCAGCCCGCCCCCCGAGGGGACTTCAGGGGGAGGAGGGACACCAAGTAGGACGAGCCCAGGGACCCCGAGCCAGGGGGGCCTGGCTACGGGGGGCATCCCGAGCCCGCCCCACCTAATGCCCCACTCCACCCTGGGGAGGGACCCCCTGGGGGCCTGGGCGCCCACGCCCCCCCGCCGCTACAGGTGGCGCCGACCACATTTGGTTCCCCAGCTATCCCGGTGTGCTTACCGGGCCCCCGGCTTATGCGGGGGGGGAGAGGAAGAGGAGGAGGAGGAGGAGCAGTAGGAGGAGGAGGAGGAGGAGGAGGAGGAGGGAGGGAGGGAGGGAGGGAGGGAGGGAGGAGGGAGGGAGGGAGGGAGGGAGGAGTGAGGGAGGGAGGGAGGGGGAGGGGAGGAGGAGGAGGGAGGAGGAGGAGGAGGAGGGAGGAGGAGGAGGAGGGGGAGGTGGAAGAGGAGGAGGAGGAAGAAGAGGGCGACCGCTTCAGCTACATCGCCAAAGTTTGCCCACCTGAAAGAGGAGGAGGAGCAGGAATACGAATCATACAAGTTATAAGAGAAACAAGAGGAGTGGGTAGGAGCAGGAGCACCAGGAGCAGGTGCAGGAGAGAGGGAGAAATAGAGAGAGAGAGAGAGAGCGAAAGAGAGAGAGTGAGAGAGAGACAAAAAAGAGAGGAGGTAGATGCAGAGAGGGGCCCCCGTCGTTATCGCAGTCCCTCCTTGCTGCGGCCTGTGTATACTTTTTCCTTCCGTCTCCTTCCTTCTTCATCCTTCCTCTTTCCTCATCCCTGTGTCTATGCGTCGGTCCGTCTCCTCTTCATTCTCATGCCGCTCATCCTCCTTCCCCTTCTTCTCCTTTTCCTTTTTTGCCAGAGAGTCGCAGTCGGATGAGGTATTTCGAAGGAGAGACCATGCGGGGGGGCCTCCAGACAGACAGGATCACTGGCGATTCCGGAAAGATGCTGGGCAGCTCTCTTGTCTGAGGACGGGGTCTCGCAAGAGCTCCAGTCCTTGGCGCTGCAGGGTCCATGTAGGGCCGATCGATCCCTTTCGATGCCGATTCTGGTCGCCCCGATACGATTCGATTCCCGCACTCCAGCGATCCGATACCGCCCGATGCTTGCATGCAGCTGCTGTGCATCCTGGCACATCCGATCCGGTTCGGCCTCGATTCCGTGCCGATGCAGCCTGACCCGGCCCACATTTTTGCGGCGAGCCTGGGGGTAAATGAGAAGGGGCGGGCCTTCTCAGATGGCTCGGAAGTCCTCCGGCCTTTTTGGGCAGATCTCCAAGCCTTCCGTAAGACACCAAAGACCTCTCAGAAGGCCCGAGGGTTTCTGAGAAGCCCAACCGCCTTCTCAGAGGGCCTTCTCCTTCTCAATTCCCCTCCCTCGTTCGCCGCCAAGCATTAAGTCGGGCCTGTCCCTCTACAGGAGGGATGTCCAAAAATAGTTAGAAAATAGTCAGGGGACGATTTTTGACGGTTTTTGTTAATTTTTGAGGGTTTTTGGAATATTTTTTTAATTTTTCGTACAAGATCCGCCTGTAGGAGGACATGCCCGACGTAAGCCAAGCATGTCAATTCGATCCGACCTCCCGGTTCGATGCTGACTGGCCTGGCGCCGGGCCAGTTCCGGCCGCCGCGCCAGGACGGCCGCAGCGCGGGCATGTCCGCCCCCAATGGCCCGGCGCAGGACTGCGCGGCGCACCAGGGGGGGCGGGGCGCACAGGGGGCCAGTTACAAGGGCGCCCTCGAGGGCGCGAAGGTATTCGCGCTTCGCGCTTCGCGGCTTGGCTCCGAGTCCTCCTCGTCTTCGCTGCCTCGATACGCCCGCTTTGAAACGCAGCACGTACCGTGCTGAAAGCGTCCGTGCCAATACGTTGCGTGCTGGCTCCGCGTATTGGCCCACGTTTCGGCGAACGCATCGCGTCATACCTTCGTTTTCAGTCCACGTGTCGAGCTCTGTGTCAACAAACGACGTGTTGCGTGTTGCGTATCGGAGCAGGGAAGCTCCTCATCCTCTTACGTTGCATCTTCGGGGGACCTCGCCTGTCTCACAACTTGGTGTCTTTTCTTGTGCCCGACGCGGGCTCGATGCGGACTCGGCGCGGATTTGGCGAGGATTCGACGCGAATTCGACACGGATTCCACACAGATCCGACGAGTCCGACATGGATTTGACACGGATTCGACGCGGATAGGGCCGCGATGTGACAGACAAGGTCCCCAGAGGATGCAAAGGAAATCCTTCTCTTCTCCCCTGGGGGGCGGCGCGAGAGCGCGGAGTCCTTCGCGCTCTCGCGCTTCGCGCAGCGCGAAGAAGTGCGAAGTTGGGCGCCCTTGAGGCGCGAGAGGGGCGGCTTTCTCCAAGAAGGCGGGGGTGGGGCCTTCTTGCAGAGCCGAGGAGAACGGCATAAGCCACCACCACTACCATAGGTAGGACGGGGGACAAGTGAGGATGGGGAGGTCCTCCTCCTCCTCCTCGTCGTCGACCTCCTCCTCCTCCTCCTTCCTCTCCTACCTATGGCAATGGTGGTGGGAAATCGGTCCATCAAAGCAGAAGCTTTCGGAGCTCGGCGCGGATTTCTTGGATCTGCGCTGGGCCCCTCCCGGCGCCGTCTCTGGCGCCGCCTCCGACGCTCCGCGCGCCATGGGGAGGGGTGTCCAGCGCAGATCCAAGACATCTGCGCGGAGCTCCGAAAGTTTATGGTGCTCCCGATGGTATTCCCGTTCTCTCGCTGCAGAGAAGGCAACGAAAGCCTAGCATGTATCTCCGCCGGTTCTGACCCACATGGCTTCGGCGAGACATGCTAGTGATGTCCCAGCCCTCAAGCATCAACGTCTCGAGCTTCTCCCGAACCGAGCCTCCCGCCCCGCTGGGCGGAGCGACGCGCTATCTGCTCGCAGGGCATGGCGTGTCGCCGGAGCCGCTGCCGCTACACGCCAAGCAAAAGTTTCCGGCCGTAAGCCCCCCAGGCTTATGAGAAGCCCTCTTAGAGGCCCCCCTTTGGGCCCCTTCTGAGGAGAGCCCCTGCCTTCTAAGCAGGCCCCCCCGCCGGTTGTCGCAGGAGGCCGCCCCGGGCGCAGGAGGTTCTTGGATCGAAGCGCCGCCCTAAGGAGACTGTGCCTTCCAACTCCCCAGACATCCGACGTCTTGAACAACACAAGACGGAGTTTTTTGATCGGTTTTCGGTCTCCGGGGGCCCTCGCCGTGCCCTGGCATCTACACAAAACGGCAAAGGACGAAACCATGGACTTGCGGATACCTCGGATTGGGAAACAACGAGATATCGGATGTCTGGGGCTCCGCGAGGACTCCCAAATGTCTGGAAGAATACCTGTTCATTTTTGTAGTATCAAGATGCCAGTCAGTGTGGACCCCAAACAATGTGAGTCTATATTCTAGACAACTCTGTGTTGTGCAGTTTATGTGGAGCAACATGTGTGGTGCAATCTATGTGGTGCAATCCACTTCGACTGTCTTGAAGCTGTCCTCTCCACTGCTCGTGCAAACATCCCACCCTCCCACCCGCAACTTGGTCGCAAGACATCTTCAGACAAGACCGTGACGGTAGGTACTGCGTGGCACTTGGCCACGACACCGATGCCGACGACGACAGCGACATCGACGACGACGGCGCCGCCGACAGCGACTGCGACGACACCGACGACGTCTCCAATGTTTTCGACGACGACAACGACGACGACGACACCGACGACGACGACAACGACGCCGACGACGACGACGAAGACGACGACGACGTCGCCAACGGAGACGACGACGAGGGAGGAGAAAAAACGACGACGGCGACAACGACGACAACGACGATGGAGGAGGGAAGACGGCGACGACGCCAACGACGAAGAAGGAGGAAGGACGGTGACGCCGACGACGACAACGACGAGGGAGGAGGGAAGACGACGACGATGACAACGACGACGAAGACGACGACGACGGCGACGAAATAGGAGGGACGACGACGAGACGCCGACGACGGACGACGACGACGAGGGAGGAGGATAACGACGAGGGAGGAGTGAAGACCACGACGACGACGACGACGACGACGGCGACGAAATAGGAGGGACAACGACGAGACGCCGACGAAGACAACGAGGGAGGAAGGACGACCACGGCGACAACGACGACGGAAACGACGACGACGCCAAAGACGACGAGGAAAGACAGAAGACGACGACGGACGACGACGACGACGACGACGAGGGAGGAGGGAGGACGACGACGACGACGACGACGCAAGAGCGCGCGCGCACAATTTTGTTGAAAACCCGTGTTGCGAAACCTTGTGTTTTTGTAGGTTTTTTGGACGCACGATTTCGAAATTCTTCCGAAACCGAAGGTTTTTGAAGGATTTCGGCATACGCCCGCGACGACGCGCGCGTCTGCACTTCGTCCCGTTTTTTGCAGAGGATTCTCGCGACGGCACACGCGCAAGAGCGTTCGACAGATTTCGACATGCGCGCGCGCGAAGCCCGTTTGGTAGCATTTTGTGAAAATCTTGGAAAACCTATGGTTTTCTCAAGATTTCGCAGAGCTCGCGCGTAAGTTTTGTTTTGAATCAGTGTTGCGAAACCATGTGTTTTTATATTTGTTTTGGAAATTCAATTTTGAAATCTCTCCGGAACCGAAGGTTTTTAAAGGATTTCGGCATGCGCGCGCCACGACGCGCGCGTGTGCACTTCGTCCCGTTTTTTGCAAGGGATTCGTGACAAAGTGATATGTTAGAACAAAGCATGTCACCGCATAGTGTTTTTTACAAGGGAACCGCAGGGGGGGGGGAACCCGGCTTGGCTGGGATGGTATGAATTCATATTTCGGATGGACATGTGGTCAGAATCATATGTAATTTACAGCACGCGCGGGGGGCCCGATAAGTCCGGGGGGGGTAGAATCTTTTAGTCTTTTAGATAGGAGAATAAACGCGGTGCAATCTACGTGGTGCCATATTTGTGGTACTGTTTACGCTGTACATGTGTGTTGTGCAATCGATGTTGTGCGATCTAGGCCGTGTAACATATTGCAATCTAGGTTGTGCGATCTATGTTGTGCAGTATCTGCGGTGCATTTTTTCTCAATCCGTGTGGTGCAATCTATGTGATACGAACCATGCGGTGCGATTTATGCGGTGCAGTACATGTTGTGTACTTATATTGTGCACTCCATGTTGTGCGACATTAGGTGGGGCAATTTATGTGGGGCAATCTATGTGTTGTGATGGACGGTGTGCAATCTATGTGTTGCAAGTCACCCTGCCGACCTTGAAGTTGTCAACTCCACTGCTCGCGCTGTCATCCCATGCGGCGGCGATGCCGATGAGTGCTTGGCGTTGGCTGGTGCATCTCTGCGGTCGCGCTAGCCCGCGCATGCTCGCGCGCGCGCAGCTGCCAGCTCGTTTGGCGCGACCGACGCGGCCGCGGTGGATTTCCACCGGGCACTTCAGTGCGAGTCGGCGACTTGGGCGGGCGTTGTATCATGGCAGCGTCAACGACGGTTGACGCAATGATGATAGTAGCGATGCTGGACACGCTGGTAACAACGACGACGGCAAAGCCAGTGACGGCGCCGATGCTGATCACGCCGACGACGATGACGGCGTCCTCGCGTCGGAGCTGGAGGTTTTGGAAAGAGTTCGACGTGCGCGCGCGGCCGACGCGCGAGAGTAGCCCGCATGGTAATATTTGAGGCACGCGCGCGAGGGCGTTCGAATGATCTCGACATGCGGCGCGAAAGGCCCATTTGGCAGAATCGAATCACAATCTTAACGAACTTCTGGTATTCTGTGGAATTCGCATGACCTCGGGCGTTTTTTGTGCTTCTGTTATTTTGTTGGTTCGTGTCGGAGAAAACGGATGTTGCACGACCGTGTTTTTTGTGTGAAAATTTCCGGGGGTCTCGATTTTGAAATCCGATCCAGCAAAGTTAAATTGGCTCTTGTAGAAGGACTGGACATCAAAGGGTTTGGGCCGGACGAAACCAAGATGTATTCGGGCAGGGTTTTGTCGTTGATTCGTTGACCAACATTCACGACGTTGAGTTCGATCACAGATTAATGGGCCAAGTTTGGTGCGTTCAAGCAGGAGCTGACCGACGAGCCCATTCCGGCATATCTTCGGATGCGACTTTTCATTCTGTCGTAACGCCCGCTGTTTTGTATGGCTGCGGAAGCTGGGTGACCACAGCTGAGCGGGATTCAACGTTGAAAGCCGCGCAAATGATAACGGCCAGGGCTATTCTCGGACGTCGACGTGCTGTTACGCCGGTACGTACAATCGAGACGTAGGTGACCTGGGCCAGCGCGTCACGGCTGAGGCGCGGCCGTTAATGGAGAAATTGAACACACCCGGCTGGGCAGAGGAACGCTGTTCCCGACAGCAAGAGTGGACTCAAATGTTGGAGACGATGAGTGGTGAACGATGGGCTCGAAGAGTGCAACATTGGGATCCAGACGGGCGCTGACCCGGGGGACGCCCGCTGCCGAAATGGGCTGATCAATTTCCGCTGCGCCCTTCGGGCACGTTGCCGCGCGCGCACTGCACATACTCAGCGTCTTGTCCTGTCCTGTCTTGTCCTACGCAACCGCAGGTTTTTGATGGTTTTCCGTATGCGCGCGCGACGCCTTCGTCCCGTTTGTTGCGCGGGATTCTTGCGACATCGCGCGCGCAATGGCGTTCGAATGATTAGGACATGTGCGCGCGAGGGGCCTTTGTGGGAGCATGTGACGACAATGATAAAAACATCCGATGGTTTGCTTAAGTATATGCAAGAACGCGAGTGTTTTTTTGTGATTGCTTTGCGAAACCAGTTGTTTTTTGTTTTCGATGTTTTCGGGGCGCTCGATTGTGAAATCCTTACGACACCTGAGGCCCCAGGAGGTCCCAAGAGGCTCCAGCCGGGGGCCCAGGAAACACCACGAGGCCCCCGAAGGCCACAGGAAACATTAGGAGGCACCAGGAGGCCCTGGAAGGCCCAAGGAGGCCCCAAGAGGTCCCAGGAACAGGGCCGTAGCCATTTTGGCTCAAGCCATTTTGGCTCAAGCCATTTTGGCTCAAGGGGTTGGCCCGAGCGTCTTGAGGTTAGGCCTCGCAATTTTCTCCAGTCGTGCGCCAAAGCACGCGTCTCTCTTTCCCTCCACAACGGTTCGGATTACTCCAGTTGCTCCGATGCCTGCTGGCGTTAAGAAGTCCACCAAGTCAGAGGCCAGGTCCCAGTCTCGGCGGCCAGTGAAGAAGAAGGAGCCCAAGTCTGAAGATGATTCTCGGTCCCCTGAACGGTACTCAATGAGTCCTGCAGGCCGCCGCCGCCCAAGCACTGACTCCAGCGAGCGCTACTCGGATCGCACACGTACTAGGAGCCGCCGCAGTGATTCTGATAATGAGGACGGCACTGCCCCCGACAAGGCCCCCAGTTGGATGAAGCAGCTGATCGACGGCATTAGAACCTCGAACTACCGCATCGAGGTGATGGAGCAGAACTTCGCGCAGGAGGTGCAGGTGCTGCAGAGCTCCATCTCGAACACGGATAAGAATGTCCAAATGCTCAATTTGAAGCTTCAGACCCTTGAGGCGTCCACGTCGGCCACCATCCAGGAGGCGGTTGCTGCAGCGGTTGACACCAAGTTGAAGCGCATCGACGAAACTCTGTGTGAGCTCCAGAGTTCGCCTACGCCACGGTCTGAGCCCTCGGCTCGCCGAGCTCTTGCTGCTGGTCCACGCCCCGACGGTAAGCATGCAGCCATGGAGCGTGCCCACCGTGTGATAGTGGTCGGCTTCCCTCGGAAGATGATGCAGGCCTCGCTGAGGCGTGCCGCTGATCTGATCCTGGCCTCTGGCGTCCCTCAGTCCAGCCCACGCCCGACGGTACGCACATACGACATGACCAAGAAGATCACCTTGGACTTCACGGACTCGACCAAGGCTACCGACTTCCTGAACATGCTCCAGGCTGGTGCGCCAGTCCAATTCCCCGACCCGATCTACCCCCAGCAGATGATCACCCTCCGCGCCAAGAGGGACATGGCACCAGGCACGCGGCTTCTCTTCCTTGCCATGGGTAAGGTTCGTGGTGTGCTCGCTCCCATAATGCGCCAGGAGGGCAAGGAAATGGGGTCCAATGGTCTTGGTGGAGATGTGTATATCCTTCGTTCGGCAGAAGACCCAGTTCAGATCTGCCACGTTGACCTTGTGAACAGTGAGTCTGAGCCGCCCCAGGTCGCTATCAACTTTTCCCCTGATCAGTTTGCGGAGTTTCATGCTATTATTGAGCCCCACCTCCAACGTCTGCAGGAGGGGGTGGATCATTTGAATGCATCGCAGCCCTTTTAGAGAGGAATGTGACGGGCCCCAGGCTACGGGTGCGGCGCTTGTGACACCTCCAGTAGAGTGTCCCCCTGCCGCGAGCCTGATCGTCGCTCCTCCTAGGCGCTTAATTACCTCTAGTCTCTTTGGCCGTTGGACTGAAGATGTGCCTCTCCTCCCCGTCGATGCCCTCCCTGCCTGTGCCGCCTCGGCTGATCAGGCCTCTGTGTCCGTTCCCCTAGAATGTTCTGGGCAGCGCGTCTCTGGCAGCGCTTCTCGAGCAAATCAGGGAAACCCTGTCTCTTTGGTCAGGGCCCGCCCCTGCTTCCCCCCCTCAGAGATGAAGATCGGATCTTGGAATACTGCTGCCCTCTTTGCCGCTGTTCGCACCAAAAGTATGAAGGCTGCCCCGCGCTTTGCGAAGTTTCTGAAGCTCGCGAACCAACTCTCGGTCTTTTGTACCCAGGAAACCCACGGACAGATTGCGGATATAAACGAGCTTCGGCGAGAACTTCGGCACTTTGAGATTGGTCACTCTCTGTTCCCTGACTCTGCTGCTACTGGTGGTGCTATCACGTGCATCCAGCCTGCGTTTGCGAAGCTCTTCTCTACTATTTCTCACTCCAGCGTCATCGATGGTCGTATCCTCAAGTCTCATCTCTCTGGGCCTCTCGGGAACTTATGTAGCATCAATGCGCGCATGCCGAACGCCAATGAACTCACGTGTGTATATGCTAACGCTATACGATCCATCCTTCGTGAACTTCCTAGCCCCGCTGATTGTTTCACTATCTTGGTAGGTGACTGGAACTTTGCGCTCTCTTCTGATGGGAGACTTCGGGCGGATGGTAGTGGGTGGTATCCTGGAGATGATAATCATACTTCTCTATTTCATCGGCTTTGTAGCTCTTGGATTGAGTTTTACCAGTGTGAGGACACGAGGAGGGAGGTCAGGGACGGCGTCACGACCCACTCTTCTCGGCTAGACCGTATGTACAGTACGCTTCCCTCGGCCTTGATCACGGACCTCACGATTGTTTGCGAGGCGCGGGGGGCCCTGAAGGTGGATATGGTCTCGGACCACATCCCGATAGTCGTCACGATCAGCACCTTCAGACCTCAGGATGCTCCCAAACGTCTGGCTCCTTGGGTTGTTCGGCACCCTTTATTCGCGGAGCTTTTGAACGGCGCTATTGATGCCCTTCCCTGTGGTGACCCGTGGGCTCGTCTTGCAGAAACGAAATCTTTGGTGTTTGAAGTTGCTGAAGAGGTTAAACGTCTGGTCAACTTGAAACCTGCTGACACTACCGAAGCTAAACACTTTCGTGCCCTGCAAGCCCTTCGTGCATGGCGTGCGGGAGACTCTTTCAAGCTTGCGGCGGCGGTTGCCGCGTACCCGGCGCTCGCTGCTCACTTTCCTGCCGGCCTTCAGGATGCCAGATGCGAGGCCCTCTGCCAACGCGTTCAGAGTCTCCATAATGCTCTTCTGTCTGCTGAGGAGGAATTTCTCAATCAGGCATTGGTTGAGGACGCCGGACCCGTGCCCTCTGAGGGGGATGAGAATGCTCGGCGGAAGTTGGCGGCTCGGAAGGAACTCTGGCGGAAGATGAATAGGCGTACGTGGCTCCAAGGGACCTTGTCGGCTTCAGGGGACATCAGCAAGACAGAAGAAGAGGCTGCCCAGGCCCTACAGGATCACTGGAGTACTATCTTTGCGGCTGCTGAGGACGACGAGTCCCTCTGGCCCGAGCTGCTTAGCTTTGTGCCGAAGTTGCCAGAGGTCCCTGAGGAGATAGAGGAAGAGGACTTAATCGGGCACGGGTGGATGATGAGTGAGTTTGAGTGGCAAATGATGATACGGGGGAGGAAAGACAGCATGCCAGGGGAGGATGGGATCCCTTACTCGGCCTGGAGGGCCCGCGCTGCTGGTGAACTTCTCTACGAATGCTGCCAAGCTTTCATCCGTAACCCTCGGGCTGGTCTTCCCGATGATATGAAACGGAGTCTCATGGTTTTCTTACCCAAAAAGATTACGGAGGCGGAGGTGGGGGAGGGAGTTTATCGTGAACCAGGTAATACTCGTCCACTAAGCATGACAAATACGGATGCCAAGATTTTCTCGGCCTCGATGGCTATGATTCTCACGCGCAAGGTTGCGCGGCACTGTCTTCTCCAGCCTCCGCAGAAATGTTTCCGTGGCCGCGACATGCTCGCGAATGTGATGGAGGCTGAGAGTTTCCTTCTTGAGTGCCACCTTCGTGATAGATATACGAGTGGGCTCGTCCTGACGGACTTCGAATCCGCCTTCCCTCGATCAAGGTCTCCTGGGTCCTCCGCGTACTGGCCTCCATGGGTGTCCCGTCCGCTGTCATATTGTTCTTCCAGGCTCTTTATCAAGATAATTCTGCTATTATTTATATCTTTGGGAGGATGTTTGGTTCCTTCTCGATTGGGAGAGGAGTTAGGCAGGGCGACCCGAGCTCGATGCTTCTATTTATCCTGGCCGTTGAACCTGTACTAGCATGGGTGAGGGCTAAGCTTCCATCTCAGCTGACTTTGTCTCTCGCGTATGCCGACGATTTTTGTTTCGGCCTCCGCTGTATCTTCGATGGCATCGAGCCGTTGTTCAAGTGTTTGCAGTTGCTTCACGGCGCGATAGGTCTGGCTCTCAATTTCCCGAAGTGCAAGATTCTGCTGGCTTACGAGCGTCTCAGGGACCCTCTTCGTGATTTCCTGGTTGACCTGGGGCCCCTCTATCAGCTGGTTGAAATTACTAAGTGTCTGAAGTACCTTGGGGTCTGGATTGGTCTTGGGGCGGAGGACGTGGCGTTCACGGCATCCATTACTAAACTCAAAAAGCGGACGCGTGAGATTCGTGATCTGGGGCTTGGTTTGGCCCAATCCATTGTTCTATTCAAAGCTTTTTGTGTCTCTATATTGTCCTTCCTTTTGCAGCTGCACCGTCCCACTCGTGATCTCGACAAAGCTTATCAATCCTGTGTACGTCTCCTCTCTGCTGGCCCTAACAATGCGCTATCCTACGACATGTGTACCCACCTTTGTGTTTATGTGTTCCCTATTGAGTTCCCTCGGCTCTCGCTTGTGGCAGATGCTACTCGGGCGAGATACATTGCACGTTGTGATGAGCTGCCTCGGATCCGTGACCAAGTCGCTCGGATTTTTGAAGATGATGACTGGTGCCCATATCGGCAGCGGCGCGGCTGGTACGTGAATAGTTTCCTCACTCACTTGTTCACCTTCCAGGACGAAGTTGCATCCCACGGCTTCCAGATCTTGTATGAGCGTAAGGATGTACAGAAGCAGTATATGCGTGCGCTGAGGCGCTTTCACTGTCCCACCGTCACCCCTCATGAAGCTCCTCTTCGGCGTGCCTGTGCTTGGATCCCTGAGGTCTCCCTGTCGGACATCGTCTGGGTTTGCAAAGTCATCAAAGCCCTGGCCCGTCAGTCCAGTCCTTACATCCCGTTGGCCAACCTACGTATGCTCTCCAGGTGTGTTTGCACTAGTGCTCGATTTCACGCTCCCCCTCGAGGCTGTCTTCTTGGGTGCCCTAGTTCTCCGACGTCCCCGACTGACTTAGATGACATGCACCACTACCTCGTGTGCCCCAGGCTCCAGCAGTTGTTCTCACATTGGATGGGCTCTTGGGCTCCCTGTTCTTCTGGGTCTCCTGAGGGTTCGCCCTGGCTCCACCTCTACCTCCTTTTTCGTGGGATGGGTCCTGACCAGCGTCTTTTAAGTTCTATGCTTTGTGATGCCTTCCTCAGTATGCACTCTTCAGTTAGATATGGTCTTCCTGGCACTCCGCAGCAGCAATTTGAAGCAAGGCTCCGAATACAATCGAGGCGGCACCGTGCTTGTCGACGTGTGTGGCAGGCGCTTAACCTTGAACAATGGGGGGGAAGGGGCCCTTTTTTTTTTAAAAAAAAAGAAAAAATAGGTCCCAGGAACAGGAGGCCTCAGAATGGCACAGGGGTGGCTCCAATCCCCGCTGTTTTGCGTATGTTCCTACAGATTGGGCCTCCCCTGGAGCACGAATCTTTGGTGTTTTACGTATGGTTCTATCGATCGCCCTTGTCCTGTGTATCCAATTCGAAGTGTTTTACACATGTTCCTATCTATTAGGCTTCTCCTGGAACGCGAATCCTCACCAGGAGGCCCCGGGAGGCTTCAGGAGGCTTCAGGAGGCCCCAGGAGGCCACACGAGGCCCCAGGAGGCTTCAGGAGGCTCCAGGAGGCTCCAGGAGGCCCCGGGAAGCGCCAGGAGGTTGCGGGAGGCCCCAGGAGGCCTTCGGCTCATGCGCAGAGACGCGCTCGTACGACTGAGAATCATTCACTCTCCAACTCGTGCGCAGTTACATTCACTCCCAGACCGTTAATATTCAAGCCTGTTTATATTCGAAAACTCTTGCGCCTAGACGCTCACGGCGGACAGGTCCATGCTAACATATGCACATATGGGGGACACCACGCAGTGATTACTTATTACTCCGACCGCTCCGCCTCCATAATTTTCCACCTCTTCCTACTCATGGAGATGCTGCGATGATGACTGTGATGATGATGGTGATGATGCGTATGATGCTGATGACATCACTTGTGATGATGGTGATGATGATGACGATGCTGGTAAGTCTGATGATGATGATGATGCTGGTGGAGCAGATTTTTAGGATGTTCGCTCGACGCGCTGGTGATGATGATGAGGATGGTGTTGGTGATGACGATGTTGGTGATGATGACGATGCTGATGATGAAGATGCTGATGATGATGGTGACCAGGATGGTGTTGTTCCCCACATCCAAAGGATGGGGTTCTTGTTCCCCATATCCAGCGGGCGAGGTTTTTGTTTTTATTCCGACCGCGACAGCTTCCATCCACACACCCCTCCATCCGTCCTCTTCCTTATGTTATGTCATGCCATGCTGTGCTATGGTATGTGATGCCATGACATGGTATGGTATGACATGGTATGGTATGAAATGGTATGGTATGGTATGGTATGCTATTCTCGGATATGTCATGCTATGTTCGGGTATAGTGTGTTGTGCTATGCTATGTTAACGATGATGAGTATGATGGTGATTGTGATGGCGGTGGTGGTGATGATGATGAAGGCTATGATGATGATGATGCTGCTGATGATGATGACAATGATCAGCGTGATGCTGCTGATACGGTGATGCTGATGATGCTGCTGCTGCTGCTGCTGATGATGATGATGATGATGATTATGACCATGATGATGCGGATGATGATGATGATGATGATGATGATGATGATGATGATGATGATGATGATGATGATGATGATGATGATGATGATGATGATGATGATGATGACGATGACGATGACGATGACGATGACGATGACGATGGCGATGATGGTGGAGGAGCAAGTTCTGGGGATGTCTCGAGCGAGGCGCGGGTTTCAGCACCCCCAATGGGGGAGCCGCCGAGGGGCATAGCATTCCTTCATTCGCGCCAAAATGGCGGGGATGTCTTGAGTTGGGCATTCGGAGCAGATTGTAGGATGTCTCGAGCGCGGCGCTGATTTTCGCCACCAGCGGGGGCCAGATTCTGAGGATGTCTCGATCGGTTTGCCTGTTTTTGTGGCCAGACTCGTGGGCACAGAGACCTCCCGAGGATGCCACAGGAGGCTCCAGCAGGCTCTAGAGGACCCAGGAGACCACAGAGCGAGGCGCGGGTTTAGGCACCCCCAAGGGGGAGCCGCCAGGGGTTATCTCATTCTTCCGTTCGCGCCAAAAATGGCGGAGATGTCTCGAACGGTTTGCTTGTTTCACCGCCCGACATCATTCGCTGTCGGAGCAGATTTTGAGGATGTCTCGAGCGAGGCGCGGGTTTAAGCACCCCCAAGGGGGAGCCGCCAGGGGGTATTGCAATCCTCCGTTCGCGCCAACATGGCGGGGTTGTCTCGAGCGGCTTGCGCTTTCGGAGCAGATTTTGAGGATGTCTCGAGCGAGGCGCTGGTTTTTGCACCACAGCGGGGGCAGCTGTTCAGGATGTCTCGAGCGGTTTACGTGTTTCTTGGTGGTCACATTTGTTTGCGTTCAGAATAGACTATGAGGATGTCTCGGGTGAGGCGTTGGTTTCAACACCCCAAGGCGTCCTGTGGCCTCCTGTTGCCTCCTGGGGCCTCCTGGTGTTTCCGGGGGCATCCTGGATCATCTTGGGGCCTTCTGGGGACTCCTGTTACCTCCTGGGGCCTCCTGTGGCTTCCTGTGGCCTCCTGATGCCTCCTGGGACCGCCTGTGTCCTCCTGGGGTCTCCTCGAGCCTGCTGGAGCCTCCGGTTGCATCCTGGGGGGGTTCCGTGCCCACGAGTCTGGCCACCCAAACAAGAAAACCGATCGAGAGATCCTCAACTTCTGCCCCCCTCTGGGGGCCCAAATCGGCGCATCGCTCGAGACATCCTCAACCTCTGCTCCGAAAGCGGATGATGCTGAGGCCACAAACAGGCAAACCGCTCGAGACATCCCCCCATTTTGGCGCGACCGGGGGAGTGAGGTACCCCTTGGCGGCTCCCTCTTGGGGGTGCTGAAACCCGCTCCTCGCTCGAGACATCTTCAGAACTTGCTCCGCCATTACCATCATTACCATCATGATGATCATCATCATCATCATCATCATCAGCATCATCATCATCATCGTCGTCGTCGTCATCATCGTCAGCATCGTCATCATCATCAGCATCGTCATCATCATCATCATCATCATCATCATCATCATCATCATCATCATCATCACAACCACCGTCATCATCATCATCATCATCAACATCATCATCATCATCATCATCATCATCATCATCAACGTCATCATCGTAAGCATCATCACCAACAACATCACCATCATCATACCATAGCTTAACAGAGCATGCCGCACCATAACACATAACATACCCTGTCATAATACACAACAGCATACCATATCATACCATACCATGGCACACCACATCACTACATACCACACCATGTCATACCGCACCAAAACATGACATACGATACCATGAAATAACCTCCCACATCATAACATACCATACCATACCATAACATATCATACCATAGCAGCACATATCCTACCATACCGTGTCACAACATAGCAGAACAGAACATCTGAGTGTGACTCTGGGTGAAAAAGAGGAGGACGAGGGAGGTGAGTGAGTGGGCGGTTTCGCCTCGGCGCGGTCGGATTAATAACAAGAAGCCCATCCTTTGGATATGGGGAACATCCGCTACACTTCATTGCGTGGAGCTCCCCATCTGTGCATCCATTTGCATGGACCTTTCCGCCGTGAGTGTCTGGCGCAAGAGACTTCGAATCTAAACAGGCTTGAGTATTGATAGACTGGGAGTGAGTCTATCTGTGAATGAGTTGGAGTGGGAATGAGCCTTAGCAGTACGAGTGAGTCTGCACGCATGAGCCTGGGGCCTCCTGGGGCCTCCTGGGCCTTCCTGGGGCCTCCTGGAGCCTCGTGTGGCCTCCTGGGACCTCCTGGTGCTTCCTGGGGTTTCCTGGGGCCTGATGCATCCTGAGGCCTCGTGTGGCCTCCTGGGACCTCTTGGAGCCTCTTGGAGCCTCCTGGGGCCTCCTGGGGAGGATTTGTGCCCCAGGAGAGGCCCAGTCTATAGGAACATAAGCAAAACACTTAGGAATGGAGCCACAGGAGAGGGGTAGTCTATAGGAACACGCGTAAAACACTCGAGATTCGTGCCTCAGAGCTGACCATATATATATATATATACATATATATAAATATAAATAGTTATATGTATATATATATGTATAAAACTATATAATTATATATAGGAGCTTGTGTAAAAACACTTATGATTGGAGACGCAGGAGAAGGACAGTCTATACAAATCTACGTAGAACTCTACGGATTCGTAGCCCAGGAGAGACCCAATCTATAGGAACATACATACAACACGTGATTGGTGCCACTCCTGTGCGTCAGTCTGAGTCTGAGTGTGAGTGAGCCTGAGTAAAAGTATGATGAGTACGAGTCTGAGTAGGCGTGAGTCTGAGCACGAGTGAGTTTGAGCATAAGTGAATCTGAGACATCCTCGCCCCGCCTGGAGGCTCCAGGAGGCCCTGGCAGGCCCCAGGAGCCCTCACGAGGCCCCAGGAGCAGGAGGCTTAAGAAGGCCACAGGAGTGGCTCCAATCCCCGGTGTATTACGTATGTTCCTATAAACTGGGCCTCCCCTGGAGCACGAATCTTTGTGTTTTACGTATGTTTCTGTAGAGTGTCCTTCTCCGGTGTATCCACTCCTATGTGTTTTACGTCGGCTCCTACATATTGGGCCTCCCCTGGGGCACGAGTTCTTGGTGTTTTACTGGCGTTCCTATAGGTTGCCCTTCTTTTGCGGCTCCACTCCGAAGTGTTTTATGCCGGTTCCTATAGATTGGGCTTCTCCTGGGGCACGAATCCTCTCCTGGAGGCCCCATGAAGCTCCAGGAGGCTCTTTGAGGCACAAGGAGGCCACATGAGGCCCCAGGAGGCCTCAGGAGGCCACAGGAAGCCCCAAGAGGCCTCAGGAGGCCCCAAGATGCTCCAGGAGGCCCCAGGAAGCCTCTGCAGGTTTCAGTAGGCCCCAGAAGGCCCCAGGCTCAGTCGCAGAGACGCAATAATATCATTGAGAGTCATTCACACTCCAACTCATTCACAGTTAGATTCACTCTTAGGTCGTAAATACTCCAGCTCGTTTATATTCGAAGTCTCTTGCGCCTAGACACTCACGGCGGAAAGGTCTATGCAAATAGATGCGCGTATGGGGAACCCCACGCAGTGATTCATTATTGCTGATGGTGAGGATGCTGATCCTGATCATGATGGCGATGAAGATGAGGTCCGTCTTCAGGTTATGATATGATGATGATGATGACGATGATGTGTTGATGATGGTGCTGATGCTGATGCTGATGCTGATGCTGATGTTCATGTTGTTGTTGTGGTGGTTGTTGTGGTTGTTGCTGTGATGCTGATGCTGATGCTGATGCTGATGCTGATGCTGATGATGATGATGATGATGATGATGATGATGATGATAACGATGTTGATGATGATGATGATGATTATGATGATGATGATGATGGTGATGGTGATGGTGATGATGATGATGATGATGATGATGATGATGACGACGACGACGATGATGATGATGATGATGATGATGATGATGATGATGATGATGATGATGATGATGATGATGATGATGGTGGTGGTGGTGGTGGTGGTGGCGAGCAGAACCTGAGGATGTCTCGGGTGAGGCGCTGGTTTCAGCACACCCAAGGGGGGCCGCCAGGGGGTATGTCACTCCTCCATTCGCGCCCAGAATGCTGGGATTTTTCGAGCGGTTTGCTTGTTTGTGGCCTCAACATCCTCCGCTCTCGGAGCAGATTTGGAGGATGTCTCGAGCGAGGCGCTGGTTTTCGCACACCCCAGGGGCGCCAGGGGGTATCCCACTCATCCGTTCGCGCCCAGATTGCGGGGATTTCTGGAGCGGTTTGCTTGTTTGTGGCCTCAACATCCTCCGCATTCGGAGCAGATTTTGAGGATGCCTCGGGCGAGACGCTGGTTTTCGCACGCCAGGGGGCCCACATTGAGAGGATGTCTAGGGCAGTTTGCTTGTTTGGGTGGACAGACTCATGTGCACGGATTCTCCCCAGGATGCCACAGGAGGTTCAGGATTCCTTTGGAGGCCCCAGGAGGCCCCAGGAGGCTTCAGGAGGCCACAGGAAGGCTCAAGAGGCCACAGGAGGCAAGAGGCCCCAGGAGGCACCAGGAAGCCCCAGGAGGCTTCAGGAGGCTCCATGATGTTCCAGGAGGCCCGAGGAGGTCCCAGGAGGCCACAGGAGGCCCTAGGAGGCCCCAAGAGGTTCAGGAGGCCCCAGGAAACACCAGGAGGCCCCAGGAGGCTCCAGGAGGCAACGGAATGCCACAGGAGGCCACAGGCGCCAGGAGGCACCAGGAGGCCCCGGAAGGCCCCAGGAGCCCCCACGAGGCCCCAGGAGCAGGAGGTTTCAGAAGGCTGCAGGGGTGGCTCCAATCCCCAGTGTTTTACGTATGTTCCTATAGATCGGGCCTCCCCTGGAGCACGAATCTTTGTGTGCTACGTATGTTTCGATCGTTTGTCCTTGTCCTGTGTATACAATCCTAGATGTTTTAATTCGGTCCCTACAGATTGGGCCTCCCCTGGGGCATGAATCCTTTGTGTTTTATGGGTGTTCCTATAGATTGCCTCTCTCCTGTGGCTCCATTCCTATGTGTTTTATTTATGTTACTATAGATTGGGCCTCTCCTGGAGCACGAATCCTCCTTAGGAGGCCCCATTAGGCTCCAGGAGGCTCCAGGAGGCCCCAGGAGGCCACACGAGGCCCCAGGAGGCTTCAGGAGGCCACAGGAAGCCACAAGAGGCCCCAGGAGGTCCCAAGAGGCTCCAGGAGGGCCCAGGAAGCTCCAGGAGGTTTCAGGAGGCCCCAGAAGGCCCCAGGCTCATGCGCAGAGACGCACTTGTACCACTGGGATTCATAGTTAGATTCGCTCCCAGACTGCCCCTCCCGGCCGCGCCGCGGCTGGCCAGGAGAAGTGCGTCCTGGGCGCCATGCGCGAGGCGCGGATGACGCCCCCGGAGGCCACGGTCTGGGAGTGCCACGGCACCGGCACCGCGCTGGGGGATCCCATCGAGGCGGGTCGGGTCGGTCGCTGAGTTCGAGGAAGGGCAGACGCCCTTCGACAGCTCATGTGCTTGTGCTGCCTGTCTTTTTTTTTTTTTGTTTTGTTTTGTTTTTTGTTTTTTCTATGGGCGGGGAGAGTCGGCCAGGCGTAAGAGTAGCCCGTCGCTGGATTGGCCTTTGGTGCGCGGCTCTCGGGGCGCGGGGGGGGCGAACACCAAGCACGCACGGCCGCTACTGTCGCATCGCGCGCAGCGATCGGCGAGCCGCGTGCCAGAGGTTGCTCTTGCCCGGGCCTGGGGTCGCTTCTGCGAGCAGTCGAGCAGAAGCGTCGGACGCCTGCAAGTAGCGTCGGACGCCTGCAAGGGGCGCCCATCATCGGCAGCAGCTCATTCACCTCAGCGGCCGAGCGCGGGGGTGGTGTCCGTGGGTGGCGGGAGGCTGGCCCTGCAGGCCCGGGCTGGGTCATCGAGTCTTTCCCTGGCGTTTGATCGCTGCTTCTCGGAGGAGATGTTTACAGGAGCCACATGTCATGTTAGTGTTACGTCCCAAGATTCAAGGTTTTCGATCATTCTGCGGGGTCTCCAGAGACGAGGGCCGAGACATTCCAGAATTCCCGACTGCATTCTGAGCCCGACTGCATTCTCGATCCAGAAGTGGTCCCGAGGTCAGATTTTCCCTAGCCGAGAGAAGTTTGAATGAGCTCTCGAAGAAGAGGCATGTATGTGTACATGTGCCTCTTGTGTATCCACCAGCCCATCCAAGAACCACTGTCGCGCCTGTTCCAGGAAGCTCGCAACGATGCTGTACTCTCTGGGGCCGGACGGCGGCGGACGGGGATGCCTACGAGGAGGTGGAGCAGCACGAAGAGGAGGAGCAGGGTGATGAAGAGGATGAGGAGGAGGAGGAGGAGGAGGAACTAGCCACACATGCAGCGTGTGTCTACCCACATATGCATGTATACATAGATGTATGCATGCATGCAAGTAAGTACGTATGTATGCATGCATGCATGCCTGTATGCCTATACATGTATGTACATGCACACACATGTGTATACTTATGTATTTTTTTTTGCATGTTCGTGCATACAGGTATGCATGTTTATGCATGCCTGCATACATGCATGTATGTAGATACTTGCATCAGTACGTAAATATATAGAGATGCAGGTGTATGCATGAATGCATATGCGCATGAACGTGTGAATGTATGTATGCATGCATGCATATTCATGTATGCAGGCATGTATGCATGTATGTATGTATGGATGTATGTGTGTAGGTATGTAGGTATGTAGGGATGTAGATGTGTAGGCATGTAGGCATGTATGGTCTGACATGGCATGTAATGGCATGACATGATATGGCATGGTATTGCATGTCACGCTATGCTATATTATTTCATGGTTGATATGGTATGTTATTCACCAATCGGAGCTTGTTTCTGTAGGGGTCCAAGCGGATTCATATGGTTAGGTTAGCTGCGCCACCGATTTGGGCGGCCCGCACGGGGATGGCTCCCATTCTTTGGGCTTCCTCTGCGGGGGAACGCGCCTTGCATCTCCTGCAGTGCGCTGCCGTGGGGCATGGGCCAGCTTAGAAGGAAAGGGGTGAGGAGCACAAGAAAAAGAGGAAGAGAGAGATATATAGAGAGAGAGAGAGAGAGAGATGGAAAGGAGAAGGCCACCACAACGCGGTGAAACTAAGGAAGGCTATGAATGGTTGCTGGTCGGGAGCTGCCCATATACATGTATATATACATATATGTATATATATGCACATATATGTATCTATATCCACAAACCTGTTTGCCAGCATGGACCCCGAGCAGTGGTTTCTTGCACCGTTGAGGTGCGATATCGGTGTTGGAGCCTAGGTGCTGCGGTCTTTCTGGAGGAGTATGTGTGGTGCAATTTATGTGTTGTAAGTCAGGTGTTGCATCCTATGTCACACAGTCCATGGGTTCAGCCTATCTGGTGCAATCTGAGGGGTGCTATCTGAGGTGCGATCTACGGGGTACAGTTTACCTCGCCACTGATGAGTTGACAGCTCCCACGCTGGAGCAAACCCACCTTTCCAACCGCAACTTGTTTGGCAAAACCCATTCGGCGATGATCGCAGTTCCAGATTGGAACTTGCTGGCGCATCACTGCGGGCGCATGGGCGCGCGCACGTTTACGCGCAAATCGGCCAGCCGGTTTGACACAACCGATGCGGCCGCAAAGGCGCATAACGATTGGAATTTCTCAGCGCATGTCAAAGGCCGCGCTGGCGCGCGGGCACTTGAGTGCGGATCGGTGACTTGGGCAGGCGCGATGTCATGATGACGTCGGCTATTGCGGCAACGATGATGATAATAGCGATGGCGATGACGATGATGACGATGACGGACGGCGCCGATGCCTGTGACGGCGATGACGGTGATGATGTCCATGTGTCGGTGATGGAGGTGATTGTGCTGTTACTGGCGGCAATAGCGGCGACTGGCGATGACGATAACGGCCATGATGCGATGGCGCTGATGGGGGTGATGTGGGGATGCGCGCGGGCAGAAATTCAAGAAATCTGGAAGTCGTTTTGTTGCCAATGTATGGGTTCTTCATATGTTTCTAGGGCTCTATTTGTAAATTGGTTGAAACGAGCCGTGCTGGATGGATTTCGGCATGCGCGCGTGGCGGCGCGCGCATGTGGTCCGCACGCTGTTATTTCATACGGACTCGTGCACTGGGCGCATGCTAGACCATCGCGGGTGCACCGTGCGGCGAGCTGAGAATGCGGCTTCTGGACGAGATGGGTAACATTACATGGTTTCCTATGGTTGCATCAGGTGCGCGCGACCAGAAACTCAGCAATCTTTCTGATCGAAAGCCAGAAAGCCAATGGGTCCGCGAGGTTTTTGTGTTGACATGCTTACGACGCTAGTGTTGGTATGATTTAGATCTGTGGGGCGCGTGCGTTGTTTTTTGGGTGCCAGGGGTTCTTAAGTAATGATCTCTTGAGACGAAGAGGTGTGCGCGCATGGCGCTGTAGGGCTTGGGTGAGGGGGGGTGCCAATACCGGTTGTGTTGGGACAGTATGGTCTCGCAAGTAATATCAAGGGCTTAAATGACGCCCCTACCCTGGTTTACGAGGCGCTGTGCGCTGAACCTCCTGCGGGCTGACAGGATAAACGCTGGCTTTCGCGCGTGTCGCGCGGTGTCCTGGCAGCTCTCTAGCCTTTGGGAGCTCCCAGGAGGTTTACAGACCACGCACTTGTAACCCAGGGTAAGGGCGTTTTTTTTCATACCTCAATAAAAGGAATGATGAGGCAGAAACATGTGCAAACTGCAGGTCGAAAAGGTGGACTGCTACCTCTGGGCGCTGGAGGGTGGCAGAGTCTGGTTTGTTGGGGGAGGGGAACGGAGAATCCACGTGGCTCACGTTGATGCCAATTTATGTGTTGCAACCTGTGTGCTTCATGTCATTTGCTGCAACAGCTGTAATGCAACCTTTGAGACGAAACATGTCGGAGGTCTGGGGGTGAGGTCGCAGTGGAACGGAGGTGTCCCCCATGGGGCAGTCGCTTTCGGTTTCGTGTCCGTGTCGTGCGTGCGGGCGAGGCGAGCGCGAGAGGACTGACCCCGCATTCAGATGTAGTGGACCACCCCTCTGCCCCCAGTGGGCGCGCGGTGGCCCGGGATGTCCCGCCGTGGTGTCCCGTCGGTGTCGCGTGGGTGACCCGTTGGTGTCCCGTCGGTGTCCCGTCGGCGGCGGGCGAGCGGTGGCCGGGGGTGCTCCGCCTTGCTACCGGTAGTGCAGTTGAAAGCGAGATCGATGATGAGATCGCTGGAGTGGGATGGATAGTGAGATCAAAAGGGAGATCGCCAGTGAGGTTGATTGTGACATTTGTTGTGAGATTCATCGTGAGATCGATAGTGAGGTCGGTCGAGGAATCGATAGTGAGATCGCTAGCTGGATCGATACTGGGATCGATCGCTGAATCCATTGGTAGTAAGACTGGCCGCGAGGTCGATATTGGGATCCATCGAGTGAGATCGACAACGGGGACGATAGTGGCGTTACATAGCAGGGCAACCTCGTCATCACGCGTCGCCGCTAACTCGAGGGCGCGTCACCAGCATCATCGTCATCATCATCATCATCATCATCATCATCATCATCATCATCATCATCGTCATCATCGTCATCATCATCATACCCGTCGCATTGGTTCTTTCCCCCCACCCCCCCCAACCTCCTTCACCTGAAGGGTGGTCGTCTAGGTACGTGGTGCAGTCCATATCGTGCAATCAATGTGCTGCAGCACATGTCGTGCAGCCCATGGGTTGCAGGTGATGTGGTGCGGAGGTTGCAGCCAGCGCACGGGGCGCCCACGAGGCGGCCACGGGCGGGTGTTCCAGCCGAACATCCGCAAACGTCAGGCAGCGTCCACCGAAAGCCCAGACTGCGCGCGCGGCGGCCACGAGGCGGCCAAGGGCCGCCCACCAGGGCGAATACTTGGAAAGCCAGGCCAGCACAAAGAGCGGCCACGAGGCGGCCACGGGCGCCTGCCATGAAGTCGGGCATGTCCCCCTACAGGAGGAATATCCAACATTAGTCAAAGTTTTCAGCTTTTGACTATTTTTGAGCATTTTTTGAATACGTGTGTTTGATTTCCCCCCAGAAATCCGCCTGTGGGAGGACATGCCCGACCTAAGCCTACCAGCCGAAAGCCAGAGAAGCCCAACAATTTATTCAACAACGAAAGCACGACACCTCTAGAGCAAGCGCTGTTTGGGGAATCCTCTCATCAGTCTACTGGCGGCCCTTCGACAGTGTGCGGGTCTTCTTGGGGATTTGGCGGGCGCTTGGGGGCCTCGTTGGAGCGGCTACGGGGCTTCCTGAAGGCCTATCGATGACCTCAGCTGCCACGTGTGCGGTTTTGGGTTTTTTGAGGGTCCACCAGAGGTGTTAATTAGGTTATTATACCGGGATCTACAGAGACGACCCTAGGCCTCCGACCGCCCATAGGTCTGGTGGGACTGTCTGCACACTCGTCGGCCTCATTGAGAACCGGGCCGTGATTTTAAACAGGCGAGGCAAGTCTGGAGGTCGAGCCACGAATTTGAGGCTCTGCCTTCTGATCGCCAGTGCAACTAATGACACCCGGGCGCGCTGCTTCTTGGTTTTGGCGAGCGGCGGAGGGCATGGTACTATCAGGAGCAGGCGTACCCGCTGGGGAGAAGTTATTGCCTGACCGCCAGGTCGGAGCGGTGAGGAAGGTCCAGACCAGGGAGAAGAGGCTGGAGACGCTGCTGGTCGCTACCAGCAAGTCCAACTTCGGCCACCTTGAAGGATGTTATTTTGTGTAACTCCTCACCTCCTGGCTCCCGCCTTTGGGTGCGCAGACAGAGCCAACGTGAAGAATTCAACGAGCGTGCAAGACGCCAGGGGCGTGTTACCCTGGAGCCGCTCTGTTGCACGGAGGGGGCCCGTTTTGCAGAAGATGTTGCAGGGGGGCACTCATACGCAATTGTCGAGCTCAGAAGCGGCATACGAAGTTGATACTTCGTGCTGAATGCGCGAGTCTCTTGGGGTCCGCTTCACGGGGTGTATTGCTTGGCTCACTGAGGGTAGGAGGAAGAGGAGGAGGATGAGGAGGAGGATGAGGAGGATAATGAGCTCCAGTACAGAGCTCCATGGGAGGCACGCCTGTTTCTGCAAGCGCGTCGTCAGATCATGCTCGGGGGAGGTGTTGTTGACATCTCACCACTGCTATCCAGAACAAGCGGGCGCCAGGAAGTGCTGCCGCCATCTCCATGAACAAGTGCATTCTGGTCGTGCTCAGAAACTCGTGTCCTGCGACTCAGCACCTCCGAGTGCTGAACGCGCACCTCAACACGGACTTTGATGCCCACTTCGTGACTGAGATGACGACTTACAGTCACACGCAGGTGCCTGCTTTTCCTGATTATGCTGGCTTTTTCGATCGATTCTGCTCATCGTATCCTTTAATGCTTTTGACGTGCAGTCAGTCGTGCTCGGCGTGACCTGGATCGTTCCCCATGTAGTGCTTGCACTGAATGCCTCTTCGGGTGTGTTAGAAAGGCTTGTCCCTCCTTGTCGCGTTTTTTTGTGTTCTGTTCTATTTTTGCTGCGCGGGCTCCACTGGGCTGGAATGACGAAGGTTTGGGGGTGATGTCGAAGTGGAACGGAGAGCCCCGCACAGGGCAATCAGCTTCCGTTTCGGGTTCGTATCGTGCGCGCGGGCGAGGCGAAGCTGCGTGGGCGCGCGAGTGGAATGACCCCGCCGTGGCTAGGGCGGGTAATGCAAACGACCGATGAGCTGGCGTTGCCAGGGGTGTCCCGCCGTGGTGTTCCGAGGCGCTCGCAGAAATTTGAGTTTAGGGGGTGAGGTCGACCGAGTGAGGTCGAAGCGATCGGTAGTGGGATCGATAGTGAGATCGAGCGAGTGAGGTCGATCGAGTGGGGTCCATAGTGAGGTCGATATGCATGAGTTCTTCACCAGTACCGAGGTCGATAATGAGATCGATAGAGAGGCCGATAGTGAGATCGATTGAGGGATCGATACTGACATCGATCGAGTGAGATCAATAGGGTGAGACCGATGGAGTGAGGTCGATAGAGAGGTCGACAGCATAGCGGTAGTGAGGTTGCTAGTGAGATCGCTGGTGAGATCAATTGGGTGAGACGTTGGTTCCGTTCCCCTCCGAACAACCTCCTTGTCACCCGAAGGGTGGTCCTTCGTGTCGCACTCTGCCGCGTCGGCCGCCCTGCCTACCGTGGACTCATATGAGTTCCTATGCCCCCCCACCCCACCGCTGACCTTACGTGTTACATGTTTCCGCGGCGGTCGCTTGGATTCCTATGGACCCTCATGGGTTCATTTCCCACCTGCCCTATCTGTCGCACTTCTTCGCGGTGGTAGTTAGCTCTGACTTTCATGGGCTCCTGCTTGTTCCTGTGTGGCTGTCCCCCGCCACACATGGCCCTGCTCGCCGCAGGTTTCCTGGCGGCTTTGGCTTCCCCCTCAGTTGGCCCAGTTTGCCACACTGTTCGCGGTGGCCGCTTGGGATCTGGCTCTCTGGGTGTCTTATGTATTAACTTCGCACTTCCTCTGGGTGGGGGGCCGATGGAGGAAGCTAAAGTGCCGCTCGGCCCAAAACATTGTTGCGCATCATTTTCCTCTGCGAGGCAGTCGCGTGCATGTTGCGGTAGCGGGGCAACCTAGAAGTCTTGGGCCGACGCATGTTTGCGTCGAGCGGGTTTTGTATCCGATTTCGCGAGGGGTTGTTTCAGGTTCCGCTCAGGGCTGGTTCCCGTCGGACGCAGGGAGGCCAGGACAGCCGCCATCAATTGCACGCGTTTTTTTCTCAACCATCCTGTGGTGTTGGGTCTCTGGTTTGAAGACAGCGTCCCGCGTCCACTCGCTTCTCACTCCTCCTTCCCCTCCTCCCTCCTCCAATTCCTGCCTCTGCTCTCACGCGTGCCGTCATCACCATTAGCATCGTCACCATCATCGCCATCGCCATGATCCACATCATCATGATCATCACCACCATCATCATTATCAGCATCATCATCAGCACCGTCATCATAATCACCATCTTCATCATACTCACCACCAACATGATCACCATCACCATCACCATCATCATCATCATCATCATCATCATCATCATCATCATCATCATCATGATCATCATCATCATCATCATCATCATCCTTACCATCATCATCAACATCAACATCACCATCATCATCATCATCATCATCATCATCATCATCATCATCATCATCGCCATCGCCATCATCATCATTCTCATCATCATCGTCATCATCATCATCATCATCATCATTACTACCATCATCACCATCATCACCATCACAATCACCATCACCATCACCATCACCCTCACCACCACCACCATCATCATCATCACCATCATCAGCGCCATCGTCAGCATCGTGCCTCTGCTCTCCGACTGCGCACCATCTCGGCACACCCCTCACACGGTTCGTGGCCCCATAGAGAGCTCGGCCCCAGTGACAGGGTCTTCATGCTTCCCCCCGCCCATTTCGGCACACCCTCCACACGCTTCGTGGCCCCATAGGGAGCTCCACCGAAGGCCCCAGTGGTAGGGTCCGCATCCGTCTCCCCGCATGTTTCCACCACTCACACGTTTTGTGGCCCGGCAAGGAGAATCACCAGAGATTCTGCAGAAACCAGGCCAGTTCATCCGATCCTTAACTCACCCGAAACCTTGACTCACCCCATCCTTAATTCACCCGCACTTAGCTCCTCAGGTTATTCATTCACCCGGTCTAAGTCATCCGATCCTTTATTCACCCAGTCTAACTCACCCGACCTTACATTACCCAGTGCTTAATTCACGTGGCCTTAACTCACCCAGCGCCTAACTCACCCGGTGCTTAACTCACCCGGTGCCCAACTCACCCGGCGACTAACTCATCTGGTGCCTAACTCACCCAGTGCCTAACTCACCCAGTGCCTAGTTCACCCCGTGCCTAATTCACTCAGTCGCTACTCACCCGGTCGCTAACTCACCCGGCCGCTAACTCACCTGGTGACTCACCCGGTGCCTAATTCACCCGGTGCCTAACTCACCAGGTCCCTAAATCACCCGGTCGCGAACTCACCCGGTTGCTAGCTCACTCAGTGACTAACTCATTCGGCGCCTCACTTACCCGGTGCCTCCTTCACCCGGTGCTGACATCATCCGGTGCCCAATTCACCTGGCGTTTCACTCACCGTGCGCCTCACATACCTGGCGCTCCACTCACCCAGCCCTCACCCATATGGCGCCTATCTCACCCAACGCTTGACTCACCCGGCGTCTGCGCCTGATTCACCCAGCGCCTCACTCACGGTGCCCAACTCACTCGGCGTTTGCCTCACCCAGCGCCTGACTCACCCAGCGCCTACCTCACCTGGCGCCTGACTCACCCGGCGCTTAGACCACGCCAAGACCAACATCTTCAGCGTTCTCCCCCTCCTCCTCCTCCTCCTCCTTTTCCTCCTCCTTTTCCTCCTCCTTTACCTCCTCCTCCTCCTCCTCCTCCTCCTCCTCATCGTCCGCCTTTTCGTCGTGGTCCCCCTCCTCCTGCTCTTCCTCCTCCTCCTCCTTTTCCTCCTCTTCCTCTCCCCCTCATCCTTGTAATCCTCCTCCTCGTCCTCCTGATCCTCCTTTTCGTCCTCCTCTTCGTCCTCCTCGGGAAAGGCGCGCGCCAGGAGCGCCGAAGACGCGAAGCGGGGACGGCGGCGGCGACAACGACGACACCGACGGCGACGCAAACTAAATGAAGAAAGCGGAGGAGGAAGATGAAGAGAACGGGAGAGAGACTCAGTTATGGATGCGGCCCCAGACGACTCCGCGACCGGTGTGAAAAAGAAACGCCCACACGGCCGCACACGTAGCCCGCGCCACAGAACGCCTCTATATGTTTCAACACAGCCAACTCACCCGGCGCCAGCCTCGCACAGCGTCGGACTCACCGTGTCCCCCTTCAATCAAACCTGAAGCTCTCATTCGGATCGGCCAAACATCGGATCGGACGGAGTCGGAGCACGCGCCCCACGGGGCGACAGAGGCACAGGGCGGCGGCGGCGGCGACGCCGACGCCGACGGCGACGCGAGCTGACAGGAAGAGGGCGGGGGGAGGAAGGAGGAGAGGACGGGAGAGAGAGAGAGAGAGAGGGACAAGAGGGTCACTGCTCACCCCGCTCACCCATCGTGCCTCACCGTGCCAAACCCACACTCGGGTCGGAACCCACCTGGCGCCGAGCACGCCCGGCCGCATTGACCCGTCGCGGAAGTCGCCCGCCGCCTGACTCACCCGGCGCTTCGGCGGAGTCGCCGACAGCGGCAACAAAACGCCGCTGTTTTTGATAACGTGCCACCCCAGGACTGAGGAGAAAGCGCCAGGTCGCACAAGGAAGAGACACGCTAGGAAATGCCGCCGTTGTGGAGACGAGCCCAGGCGACTGGAAGACGACGCTGCAGAAGATATGCCCTCATCGGCACAAGAAAAGGAGGCGCTATAAATAAATGCCGCTGTCTTCGAAAGCACCCCGAATCCACGCTGAACAAGGAATTCTTCACGCCTCGCGTACCCCCAGCAGCCAGTGTTGCCGCGGGTGGTCAGCGGACTGAGCCTATGCCTGTGCCTAGTGCGTACGCCTGCTTCCTTTGTTGGCCGCCAGTTCCTGTTGCCCGGACTGGCATCATCCCATCGTCGCTCCCCCGCTCTACCTGGATGAGCGGCCCTTAGCTCCCTGGGCTTCTTCGTGACCACTGGCTGTTGCTTCGGCTGCAGTTGGTAAGCGGCAGCACAGCTTTCCCAGAGCGCAATCTTCTTACACTTCACTCTGGTACGCCAGGGTACCAAGGATGGGCGTGGCTGTGTGTATGCTTGTCACGTTAGATGCTCCCTGGTACGCGTTCCTGCTCTTATCTTTGGTTGCTAGTCGCCTGCGACTTGTGCCTGGTAGAAGATTGGGACAGTTGTACCTTCCGCATAGCGTCACATCTTGTTACCTGATGGCTCGCTTGCAAACGCATCTCTGTTCGAGGTTGTCTTCCCGGGCCTGACGTGCCTTGTTCGGTTACAGACACCACGAATTTCGCGCCATTTTGGCCGCGTTTGTGCGTACTCTGAAGCTGCGACGGTTCGCTGGCGCTGTCAGAGTCCAACCTCTCCCAACGGTATGCAGTCAGGCGACAGCTTGCGCGTCTCTCGGACGCTTCTGCTTGAGCATGGTTCAGACATCCCGGGGCCCTATGGTACGCCATTCGCTGCGCCGAGGTTTGCAGACTCATTACTGTTCAGATAGTGTGCCCAAGCGGCGTACTGCTTGGCCATGGCCTCAGACACCTTGGGGTTATTTGCATCGCGCCATTTTGGCAGCGTA